CGGACTTCTAACTCAGTACCGGGATGCTTGTTATGGATCAGACATGAGGTGTTCCCTACAGAGGCTCAGTGCTGAAGGCTTGGTCTCCGGATGTGCTAACGAGAAGTAAGTAGTCATGAGGGCCTTATCTTCAATTGACTAATGGGCTCACAGTTGAATGGGCTATCAGAAGGTGGGGCCTAGTTAGAGGAAGGCAGTAGCTCTCTGGGAGAGGGATGTCTTTGGATACATTTTATCCCTGTCCCCCACTCCTGAACACCATGGAGTAAGCAGTGCTCTTCCGCCATGTTTCTGTCTTGTCATGGTCTTAGAGGCAATGGAAGCAACTGACTGTAGACCAGAATCACCCAGACCATGAACTAACTAGGCTAAATTTTTCCTCCTCAATTGTCTTGGGTATTTTGTCATTGTGTTTAAAACAGTGCTCAAAAAATCTATAGCTGACCTGAAGACAGCCAAAGCATTGACACCAAGGATGTGCTATTGTTCTTCCTGTCCTGTGTGTGTGTGTGTGTGTGTGTGTGTGTGTGTGTGTGTGTGTGCAGTCATGCACTCATGACACTGCACAGGAGATAGGCAATCAGAGAGACCACTGTTCAAACCACAACTGTGGATGAGAGATTGTAGTACCTTTTGCTGGTTACAGTCAGCCAGCTTGTCAACCTGTAAAGGATGTTGCCTCCATTCCTCCATTGTCAGGAAAAATCACACCTGTATAATCCCCTTCTTTTTTTTTTTTTTTTTTTTTAGTGCATACATAGAGAACCCATTTCTATGTAAACAAATCTGTCAGCAGGTGTCAGTTATACGGGGAATAAAAGCTCAACTGACATTGCTAAAGGGAGCCTAGACAGGGTGCGTGTTTGTGTTTCCGAGGCTCAAAAGCAGGACTGCATGTATGCTAGCTAAGTGAGCTACCACCGAGGCCCTCCCCCCACCCAGGAATCGGATTTAGTATACTTTTTGTATTAACATTTGAGAACTACTGTGTGATACAATAAAATGATAAGCCCTTGTTCCTTTGTTATATTCTGTGATGTTTGTGGCTGAATAATGAACAAACACATCCATACATCGCTTTTGTTGCCATAGAAGAGCAGGAAGAATGCAATTGTGTGGGGAAGGCCACCTATTCCAAGCACCTCTCTTAAGAGTCGGTTTGAAAGCCTGTGTGGGTCACTTACGTTTGTTTGGAATATGGAGACCAGAGGCAGTTGAGCAAATGAACCTGGCAGAAGAGTGTTCCAGAAATCTTTAGGGTCTAAGGTGGAGCCTGTGTCTCTCTGCCATCTGCTTTCCCTCTCTGAAAGCTTTTCAAGTCAGTGGGCAGAACTCTCACTCATTCCCACAGTGGGCTGAAGGGACTGAAGGAGACTGCCAGGCTTCCCTGCCACACTACCCTTGTGTCCTGGAAGTATGAGAGGGAAGGGAAGACCAGGAAATCAGCTAGTTGAGCGCTGGGGCATTTCCTGCTGTAGTGCAGGAAAAACCTCCATAAACAGCTCTCCTTTCATTTCAGCTTAGTTTTCTTCAGCCCAGTAGCATCAAAAGCAGTTCAGATGGGTCCACAAACATCAGAGAAGTTTCCATAGAAACTTGAAACTTCTTCCTTGACCCTGTGTTTTGGAGTCTCAATCTCCAAAGAAGTCCACAAAACAGTCCTAGGATCAAACTGGCCGCCTCTCTGGCCACTCCAGACATATCCTGCTGAAAGGACCTTGGGGCAGGGGAAGAAGCTTGCTGGCCAGTAGAGATTGCCATGGCGCCTACAGAGAGATTGTAAACTTGGAGTTGCCTTTCCAAGTTTGATCTGGGAAACATTTATCCCGAGGAAGAGATTTCAAGCGTGAACACAGGAAGTGGGGCAGGACAGCAAGAACCAAGAGTCCTTTTTTCAGAAAGCTGGCTCTGAACCCACTGCTACTGGCATAGTGAATTTGGTCTCTAAGAGTGATCTGACCCTTACTTCAGTTTTCTTGCAGTGAGATAAACCAGGACATAGTCTCATGTTCCCTCTCTCCCCTCTTTCCTTTCTCTCCCCACCCCAATGCCCTGCTTGTGTGTCAGATGGTCAGATCAGAGTAAGACATACAATTTCAGAATGCCCATGGTTGCTGGGAGGGGGAGGTGCACAGCGCACTCCTAGGAAAATTTGAATTTCAGATAAGCAGTGGAGCTTTTTAGTACAAGCACATCAATTTTATGTAAGGAACAACTTGCAATAAAATCTTCTTTGCCGTTTACATGAGGTTCAAATTGCACCAGGGTCCAAGTTTTTTTGTGTAGTGTTCCTTGGTAGCAGTAGTGGAACAGAAGTTTTTTTTTTTTTTTTTTTTTTTTTTTTGCCCCCTGGTGGCTAGCAAGGAATACAAACACGTGGGGAAATACCCTGTTATCCAGGCTGCAGAGAGAAGTCTTCCTCCCTAGGATGGAAGTAACACATGCCAGGCAGACCTTTGCGGAGGGACTAGCTTTCCAGGTATGACAGCATGAGATATATATTTAGCCTAGTTAGTTCATGGTCTGGGTGATTCCAGGGCTATGAGTATCTGATGTTAACCCAGACACCAACTCTGGATCCACCACTGTATAGCTAGGTGGTGCCTTTGTCATCCTTAAAATGGTGCAGTTGTTCTGATGACCAGAGGGCATGGAAACCTCTGCCCTAGCGTTGGGCCACCTGCCAACTCTAGTAGCAGCTATTCTCTTAACACCTCTTGCCATTGCATTAAAGTTTTCACTCAAGTGAGAAGCCTGGAAATTCATTATGAAACAAATGAGCGGGTAAACTATGCATGGGAAAAACTATAGGGCGGCACCCTCAAGTATAACTAGTGGCTGTTTGAGCTACTAGGATTATGGGATAAGTTCTGTCCTTTGATTATCAAGTTCTCCAAATATCTACGGATGCATGCGTTACTATTGTTGTTATTATGGTGGGAGACAGCACCTTGCTATGTCAAATGGGCTGGTCTGGAAGTTACTAAGTAGCTCAGACTGGCCTTGAGCTTGCAATGCAATGATCTTCCTGAGTGCCACTATACTCCTCCGTGGTTTTTCTAGTAGTGTCCTCTTACTTGGGTCTGGTTCAAGGCTCCTATCCAAGGGCATGGTTTCTCTCTCCCCCTGCATGCTAGACTCTCCTGGGGACATTGAAAGGGCATCTCGCATCTCTTCTTCTGCTTTTCCTTGTGTTAGACAATGGGGGGAGTGATTCCTGAGTTCATGGCCATAGATACGAATCTCAGCATCACCCCAACTGTCTGTGTTGTCTTAGACAAATCATGCTACCGCCAGAGTTCCGGTTTCCTCATTTTCCGACAGGAATGGGCATTACTTACAGCTCCAGGAAGAGGTCATGCCTGCTTTATCTGTCAACCCATCCTGTCTCCCATAAGACAGAGTGCTTAGTAGAGACCAACAATGATTAGATGAATGAACTCGTGAGTGTATAGAGTTGGCCAGGTGACAGGTGCAGCACCTTATGAAGACAATAACAGTAAAATATGGCCAGAATTGTTCTCAGAAGATGGGCTGACTTTGGAGAGGTAGTCCTGAGTCTGCGTTTTCTGCCTCTGAGATGGGTGGAAGGATTTCTTAACAGACTATGGGTTGTTGTTGAAGCTCTCTGGGGCTGTCTGCTTACTCACTAAAAGGAGAGGTTATTTAGCAGGACCAGGCAGAATTGTGAAGGTGAAACTAGACAACTTTTGATGTTTCTAGTGAGTGCTCTAGCAGTAAGCACCAGTCCTCAGGGAGGCCTTTGTCTACTTCCTGGTTTTGGGAATGGGAACAAGCCTGTGACCCTTGCAGCTCTGACTTGTCCACTGAGGAAATGCGTTGAAAGCTGAGAAAGGCAGTTGACAGCAGCAGCTCCAGCTAGAGAAAGCACAAGGCCTTCGGATTAGAAACCTTGCCGCCAGCTTTATGAGAACTGATCCGTCAACACCGAGATTTGAAATCTGATTCCTTGATTGGGGGTTGCTGGCTCTCTGCTGCTAGCTGTCAGACCTTCCCCCCAGGAAGGCGCTCTTGGCTGGGAAACCTTCACCAGTTACTGTTAGAGGGCTTAAGGGAGCCTGTGTTCAATGCTCAAAATTGTTAACTAATTGGCAGGCACTATCTCCAGTGGCTGGGGAGGGCCCCAAAATACCGATTCTCAGAGCTCTAGGAGCCCTGGAATCGCTTGAATCACTTTCCTAGGAGGACAGAGATCCTGGTGGATTGCAATTTTCACCTTCCCCAATTTTCACTCTTCCTACCCCTGAAGAGTTCAGTTTCAGAAGTTCAGTTCCCAAGCCCTCATGGAGAGCATTTTCTCTCTCTTTTTTTTTTCTATATCCCGATGTTTTTTCAAATTATTTTTATGCTGACCATATATTTATTTTATTATTTGAATAAACGGCTTCCAAAGTATCTCTAGTAGAAAATACAGTGCTTATCCGCACATAAGCAAACAAAAAATTAAAGATGAACACCTGTCATCCAACCACAGCCTCAGAAAAAAAACGCCACATGTCTGTCTCCTTCCTAAGGAGACCCGATTTTTGCACGTTCACTTTAAGCAAATGCTTTCTGAGCTGCTTGGAGCACGCTGTCCCCTCATCATGGGCAACCACCTGTGGGGCAATCAGGGTACCCTCATCGGTAGTGGGCAAGGCTCCTGCCCCCCCCCCTTTCTGCCTGGCTTCCCGCTTTGCTGTCAGACCTACTTCCAACCGGTGCTGGGGAGACTGCCTGACACCAGGAGCGACAGGGACCTCGTGGGACCTCTGCAGGCCGGCCCTGAGTTTGCATTTATGCAAGCTCATGTGTTTCCAAACTCAGGAAGAGGGCGATGGATGGAAGAGGAGAGAGAAGAAAGGGCAGGACAGAGCAAGGAGTAATGAAGAAACGTCGAAGCTTTGAGATAATGGGAAGGAAGAAACCTGGGCGCCAAGGAAGGAAGGAAGAACCATCCTGCCAGGCGTGTCTCCAGTGGTGGCATGGTCCCCACTTACCTGACCTGAGCAGCACTGCCCGGTACAGCCCGGTGGCCTCGGCGGGCGCCTTGGCCCACTCGCCCAGCTTCTGCGCCATCCCTGCACTGAGGATGCCTACGGCGGAATCTGGACTGAGGGCCGGAGCAGCATCTCCAGTGATAGTGACGCGCCCCGCTGCCCCACCCGCTGGGGATCTGGTTACCGGCGACTTCTCAGACACTGTAGTGGTGTAGGAGGGCCCGGGGCACAGGCAGCCTCTGTGCCTGGGCAGTGAACAGGGCACGGCAGGCACCCGGACGCTCTTGCAGCACCACACCGAGCGCTGCCAGCCTGGCCTCCGGCCCACCTCGCCCATTTCTTGGCCACTGGCCTCTGTGAAAGCTGCAAGCAGGTATGGGATTCGGGAGTGCCTTTCCTGGGATATGTTTTCAACGGAGCCCGTGAAGACAAGCCCAGGGTCCTCATCTGAGATAACAAGGAGAGCCATAGTCCTCTGCTCACAGGGTTATAAGGTGAGGCTTGGCAGCTGTAAGCGTGAAGTGCTTAGAGCCCTGCGGGTTCAGAGCAGACACTATGCACCTGTACTTAAAAAAACAACCTCTGAGGTGTTCTGTGGCTGCTGCTCAGTTGGTAGAGTGCTTACACGAAGCCCTGGGTTCAAGACCCAGCACCGCATAAAAGCTGGGCTGGCATGCACACTTATAACCCTAGAACTTAAGATCAGGATCCTGTTCAAGGTCTTCCTCAGCTACCTAGCTAGTTTGAGGCCAGACTGGGCCACATGAGAGGTGCCTTGAGACATAAGCAAGTAAACAAACACACCAGTGGTACAGAGAGGTGGGGTAGGGGGAAGTTGAAGGGAAAAGTCAGTAGGACTCCACAAGACTGATTCTTCTGGCTTTGTGCTGTCTCCAAAACACCCAGAGAAGAATGAAGAATCTGAAGGTTGGTGGGGCAAAGCCCATCAGGCAGTTACGGAATATGTGAGAAGTCTACAGCCTTGATTATCCACTCAGCCAGCACTGGGCTGCACAGCATCTAAAACAACAAGGGAATATTAATTATGCACTATTTGTGTTCTGGCTCATTTATTCTTTATAACCCTATCTATGAAGCTGGGCCTCTTAGCATTCTGATTTTACCGAGGGGAGGAAACTGAAGCTCAGGGAAGCTCAACTACTGCTCTGATGTCACTCAGCATGGAGCTAGGACACAAAGGCAGGTGGTCTGACCTGAGACACTGGCCATTGCCCACCGCCTCTCTGTTATTCCAGAGTCTCAGTTCCAGTTTGGAGGTGATTTGGTCATACTTGCATAGCTAAGATCAAACCAGTTCTGGATCCATGAAATGTGTGTCTGAAATCATGGGAGCTGTCTAGGTCAGTGGATGGTTCAAGGCTGTGCCTGGGTCTGCCAAGGTAGGATGAGTTAGCTGTTGGGGCCTTAGTCCCACCACTGCAGCTCCCTTCACCTTTTCACCCTCTCTGCTACCTGCCTCCTTGCTCACCTGCTGGCTATAACCTCTTTGGTTAGCCCACCATTGCTACCTAGGCCTGGCTTATGTGATGACACAGAGGCCCTTGGTACCTCTCCACTCTTCAGACAGCACCCAGTGTCCCAGGGTCCACGTGACACACCTCACACATCTTGCAGAATCTCAAGGTGACCCTGACCTTCAGGAGCCTGACTGGTTGGCCTGGCTCATCATGTTTGTCACCAGCAACCAGCTCTCAGCACCAGGCATGACGATTCTGTCACACTCTTTATTCAGAGGATTTAGCTATAGCCAACTTACAGTTCATCTCATTGGAGCCACCCCCTGGCTCCCTGAGCAAGATGGACTTCTGTCTGTCTTAGAGACTAGGAGTGTAGGCTCAAGTGAGTTGCCCATGATCACTTTGATGGTGAGTAGCAGAGCTGGGATCTGCACCCAGATGGCCTTACAACTTGCTGCCATGGACAGAGCAAGCCATGTATTGGAAAGATGGCTGTGGTGAGGCCCTGGTAAATTGCAGGTAAGTCTGACATGGTTTATGCATGGCATTTTCACCATGGCGTCTGGCCCAAGGAAAATATTCTGTGAACAGAAAGAAGGAAGGAGGGAGGGCCCTTCTGCGATAGGGAAGTTGATGAAGTTTTCATAAAGTCCCTGGGACTTGAGCAGGGGACATGACTCAGATCATAAAGTGCTTGCCACGTAAGCATGGGGACCTGAGTTTGGATTCCCAGAACCCATAGAAAGCTAGGTGTAGTAACATACATTCATAATCCCAGTGCCAGAAAGGTGGAGACAGAGATTTGTGGGTCTTGATGTCCATTTAGTCTAAGTGAGTCAGTGAACTCCAGACTCAATGAGAGATCGCTGAGATAGCTCAGTTGGTAATGATGCTTGCCTCCAAGTCTAACTACTTAAGTTTGATCTCGGGGACCCACAGAGTGGAAGGAGATAATCAACTCCTGCAAGTTGTCCTTTGACAGCCTCCCATGACCTTTACAACCAAGGCACATGTGTTTCCCCCCCCACCCTGAAAAGTCCCCAAGTCTTTAGCCACAGAGAGGACTGTTAAGGGTGAAAGTCTTTCCTAGGGAAATCACTGTAATGCTTTGAATGTGTGTATTTATAAGACTTTGGCTCCCTTAAGGAGTTCTTTTATTTTTATTTATGTATGTGTGTGGATACCTGCAGAGGTCAGATCTCCTGGAGTTAGAGGCTAGTGTGAACTATCCTATGTGAGTGGTGAAAACTGAACACTGGTTTCTTGTAAGAGCAACAACTGTTCTTAACCTCAGTCATCTCCCAACACACTTCTTAAAAAAAAAAAAAAAAGCTAATGCTGTTTTGCTGTGACAAATTACCCAAGGCAAACAATTTAAAGGCAGGAGGAGGACTGATTTTGGCTCACAATTTCAGAGACACAGTCTAAAGTCCTCTAGCACCACCTTGCTTGGTAAGGCTGAGTGTCTCAGGAGGAGTACATGCTACAGCAAAGCTTGGCCTTGTTGCTGTCAGGGAGCAGAAAGAACAGAGCGATCGCTGAGGAGTCATAGCACTCAAGGATACACCCAATGAGCCACTTGCTGCAACATTTTCCACTTTCGACTTATGTCACCAAATTATGAATCTAGCAACAGACTAATCCACCCATGAAGTGAGTCCTCATGATCTAACCACTGCCCCAAAGCCTCTCTGCTGACTGTCATGACCATAAGCTTTAGACACACGAGCTTTTGCAGAGGCATGCGGGGACACTCATATCCGAGTCACAACAATACATTTTCCTTTCTTTTTCATATGATAGTCTTTTTTTTTTTAATAACAGTTTTAGGTTTAGAAGAAAGTTAAGAAGACAGTACAAAGAGTTTCTTGTATTCTACAGCTGGTGTCCCTGTCCTTAACATCATAACGCATGTAGCATGTAGGGCAGGCAAGATGGCTTAGCAGGCAGAGGTGCTCTCAGCCAAGCTTATGGACCTGCATTCAGTCCTCGGAACTCACACGACTCCTACGGTTGCCACATGATCTCTACAAACATGCCAAGGCATGCATGCCCTCCCACAAATAAGTAAGCAAATAAATAAGTGTACTAAAATATATATAGATGAGTGGATGTGCCCCTGCAGGTTCTTGAAATATGAACTGATTTGATATACTTTCGTTAACTGAAGTTCATAATTTATTCACAGCTCCGTAGCTTTCAGAGAATGCCCTTCTCTGACCCGGGACCCCCTCCAGGACACCACATAATGTGTTGTGTTGTGTTCCCTAGGGCTCTCCTTGGCTGTGATCTTCTCAGTTTTGAAAGATGCTGTGTAGTGTGCACAGTTAAATCAAGGAAGGCCTGCCTGCTCCCTGTGTGGCATTGTGTATGGGGTGTAAATAGGAGGGGCTGGGGTCCCCAGGGGCCTCCCATTTTGAGCATTGCCACCAACGAGGACAGAGAAGAGGGACAGTGTTTGGGGACAGGTCAGGGTTCTTTTTTGTTTGCCTTCACAAAGGGATTGAGGGCACAAGTAACGTCATCCGGGGAAGGAAATTCTGGGACATAGAGAAGGGACCTACTCCAGAGACTTGAAAGGGTACACAAGCTCTTCTCCTGTGTCTCCCCACACAGAGCTGGGAAGCAGGATGGGTCCCTCACACAGCTTTAGCATTACAAAGACAGCACAGCTCCCAGACCCAAGTTAAAAGAAAAAAGCCTTTGGCACACCTGCCAAGCTTTGTAAAACAGAAAGCCTGTCAGGAAGAAGGCTAAGCTGTACCTCTTATAGCACAGCGGCCAGGTTTGTGTGTGTGTGTGTGTGGGGGGTCGTGCCCTTTTACTGAGTGGGCTTGGTGGTCCAGAGGGCTCTTCACTCACAGGGACCGAAAAGCAGGTGGGTCAGAAAAGCCACCCAGGTCTTTGCTGATGCAGTCCTGTAACTTAAAGCCTTCTACCAGGACTCTGCTGGTTAGTGCAGCCAGCTCTCCTTCATGCAGCCATCAACCATTGGCAGATTGGCGGGTGCCAGTCCTGCAGTCCTCAGAGGCAGGCATACAAAATACCCAAACAGTGCTGGCCACAGCTCTGCCTTGGCTGAGTCCAAGGACATTTGTGTCCCTCCTGTACCTCCTGAGGCCACCATCTGCCTCCTGTCCATGCCCTGATTGCTGAGAATCTCCAGGGGCTGGTGGCTGGTGACCTCAATGATGCTGTCCCCTAAAGTGTCCCCTTTCTGTTTTGCACATTGTGTTTCCCTGGAGACTGATATCTCAGTATGACAGTGTCAGAGTTATCAGACAGACACACAAAATGTGTCCCCATAGACCTGCCCCACAGCAAGCGATGCTTATTCTTTGTCTTGTCTTTTCTTGTTTGAAACATGGCTGGCCTACTGGCCTGAAACTCTATGTAGAACTCACAGAGATCCACCTGCCTTTCCTTCTGAGAGTGAGATTAAAGGTGGGCACCGCTACACCCAGCATTTTGTTTGCTTTTGAATATTTAAACACTGAGGTTCAGCACACACCTGCAGAGAAGTGAATTTTGAGTGCTAGCCCAGTGAACTGTTGTGCATGCACACTTATAATCACTTCCAGGACTGAAATGCCAAACAGCCCCTTTCTTCCCACAGAACACCCACTGTTCCAGGAGGTAAAGTTCTGCCCTCTGTCTGTGGCCCTGATTCTCTGTCTCCAGCATTATACTTCAATACGTATGGAGGCTGGGACTGGGGCTGGGGGTCAGTGCTTGTCTAGTATG